AAGTAAATATATATATATATATATATATATATGTATTTCTATTTCTATTTATCTTTATTTCTCAGTTTTAGTAATTTTAGTAATTCAGTTTGAAGCATAATTTAATTTGAGTAATTTTAACAAAAGTACATTTTTGTAATTTTTATTAGTATTTTTATACTTCTATTTTGCTTTATTTTTCAGTTTGTCATTTTAGTACTTGCGTTGAAATTTATTTTTCAGTTATTTGCCAAGGTACCATTTCTAAAGTTCTACATTTGTCTAAGTTCTAAAGTTTTTCATGTAATATTTATGTTTTGTTTTATTTAAAAAAAATTTAAATTAGCAAAACATTTTTTAAAATAGTTTTAGTTAACAGTAACAACACTGATATGCATTTCACGAATTCTTTTTAATTTCTTTAGAGATGCACAAAATATCGGTATAATATTATTATACCGGCTGATATTAGAATTTTTTTTAAATACATCAGTATCGACTGATATTAGATAATTAATTTTTCATTCTTGTTTTTGCTGTTTTTACATTTAGATTATATTCACCGTCCTCTAACATGGATTTGAAGTCAATCTTTTAAATGTTAATTTAGTAAAACTGTTAATTTAATGAAAATTAAATCTTTAGCAGATCTCAATATCCAGTTTTTTTTTACTCTATATCTTAATGTTGTGATGCCTAAATCACTTGTAGCATTTAAATGATTATTATTATTTTTTTTTAGGAATTTATTTCTAATTTTTGCAGCAAAAGTAAAGAATTTCAATATTGGCCATTTATCGGTTATTGTTCATTACTTGAAAATAATTATCGGCTTATCATTATTGGCCAGAATTTAGTATTGTGCATCCCTAAGTTTCTTGTTAGATGCCATTTACTCCATTTTGTGAGTCTCTGTATACAATATTTTTTTAAATTACAAATGCAACGAAAATATCGGTATCGGCAAGTACCAAAAATATAAGTATCATATCGGACTTGTTTTGGGAAAAGTGGTATCGGTGCATCCCTAATTTTCGGCTCATCATTATTGGCCAGAATTTGGTATTGTGCTTCCCCAAGTTTTTTATTAGATGCCATTTACTCCATTTTGTGAGTATTTTTGCTTGTGTCTCTAATCATCATACATCTGGGTTTCTAGAACTCTCCAAACAACATGGCAGGTATGAACAATCCTCCAGGAACTCCGCGGGACGACGGGGATATGGCAGGCAACTTCTTAAACCCATTCCAAAGTGAAAGTGTAAGTCCGCATCATACCGCTATCCTCCCCCGCTCTCCTGTAACCACATGTACATTACAAATGTACCTACATTCACTTTATGCAATAGTTAGTCTAAATATCGGCTCATGATATAACATAAACGGATGATATTATGTGTTTTGCAATCTCATTTTGTCCCTCCACGTTCCTCTTCCTCTCTTCTCGTTGCAGTATTCACCCAACATGACGATGAGTGTGTGATTCTTCTTTTTTTATTTTGTTTTTATTTTTTATTTTTAACCCGTCCCCCATCCCACTTTCTGTTCTCCTCATCTCTGCTGTGTTCGGCATGTTGCTGTTTTTTTTTTTTCGCTCGATCTTCAACTCACCACAACTCCCTCAATCACCTCTGGGCTGGCGCGGTGGCGCCCTTCAGCCGCTCGACGTGGCCACGGAGCGAAGGATGCCCAGTACAAAGCCGAAAGAAAGCAGGCATCGGGCCTTCTGACGGACTCAACCTGCCTGCCGGGCTTCGTCACTGGATCGGGACGCTAACGGCCCCCGAATGAACCACCGTGTGTGTGTGTTTGTACATGTGCGTGTGTGTGTGGGACTGTGCCAGGAAGACACTTCATAACTAGCTGCTCATCAGCATTGAGGCCCATTTTCTCGTTTTCTTGTTTTTTTTTCCCCTCGTCTTTTGTCAGCAATGAAACACTGAAACCTGCGGTTGTTTTGATTGCTGTGTACATTTTAAAATGGAAAAAGCTAAACTGGTGACGCTAGGGGCAGGAATGGTCTCATTACAATATATTTGTATATTATTGATAATATTATTGTTATAATTTTCATAATTGCTATGATGATGTACTCATAATTTTATGGATTTTCCTGTAAAGGGCACATTTGTATCTCAACAACATCAATGACAGAATAAGCACACATTCAAATGCACAATGACATTTCTGTTTACATGATTTTAGGTATTTGTTTGTCTCTTCGTTTGAGTTTGTTTCGTCAGATGTCTGCATATACCTCTTCCTGTGTTCTGATGTCATCACCACCGAGATGTACAACCTCAGTTTTTGTGTCTCTGTCAGCAAAGTGGCTACAATCACTGGTTTAATGCACCAGTCGGCACTGTATTTAAAGATTGGAGTTCATTTCGAAGTCTAAAAGGGTGACGTTGCATATTCACTGCCATCCATTCTTGCCTTGGTCACGTACGGTCAATAATGCATTTTACCATCCGTTCTAGATGATTTGTCGCCGATAGTTACGATATCATCCGTGTTCATTGTAAGTTTGCCACTACGTGTTTGCCACGTTGTTTCAGAAGTCTTTTTAGAAATATTATACCCACGTGTTTGTAAGAGTAGTTGGACGCAGGCTGCTCTTACAAGCACGACTTTCCTTGTGCTCTATAGTCCCATGTCTGTAAATATATCTTTTTTTTTCTTATTGGTATTTTCAATACACTACTTGTCTGTGAAGCTCATGTGTGGTTCCATGTCTTTCTTCAAATGAGGTTGCACTCGCAGAGTTTGCTGTCATCATTTGTGGTGCAATATGAGGATATTAATCTCAGAAAAAGGAAAATCACATGAAAAAATGTCTGAGTCACATTTTACCTCTAAATTAAGTTTAAATTAATTTAATTAGCTCTTTTAAGGCAATTTTTTTATATTCTGACTAGTGCTGTCAAATCGATTAATCGCGATTAATCGCATCCAAAATAAAAGTTTGTTTACATGATATGTGTGAAATGTGTGTACTGTGTATGCTTATATGTATATATAAATATACACACATACATGTATATATTTAAGAAATATGTACATGTGTATATATATAAATATTTATGTGATTTATATTATATATATATATATATATGTATATATATACAGTGGGTACGGAAAGTATTCAGACCCCCTTAAATTTTTCACTCTTTGTTATATTGCAGCCATTTGCTAAAATCATTTAAGTGAGTGAAAAATTTAAGGGGGTCTGAATACTTTCCGTACCCACTGTATATATATGTATAATTGTATTTCTTAAATATATATTTATATTTATATATACATACGTACATTTAATCAATTTGACAGCACTAGTCAGATAATTTGTATTACTTTTTAAATAAATGTGTGTATATATATATATATATATATATATAATTATTTTTTCTTTTTTTGTGTGTTCTGAATTTGGGGTGAAATATGACTTACAGGTTTAGTGAGATTCTCCTTTGTATATAATAGAATAATTGACAAAAAAATCCTGTTGACAAATTTGTAACCTCATTAAACCAGCCGTTTCATGCCTACAGTTATTTAATCGGCGCTTCATTACAGAACATCGATCATCGTGGGACATTCAAAATCACACATTTCTTGATGTTCAGGTCGACCTCTGAAAAAGTTATTTTAAATACCTGCCAGTCCAGTTTAAAATGCTTTTATCCAGTGATTATATTAAGTTCATAATGTATTTTGGCCATCTGAGAGAACCAGGCTCAGCCTCCTGGTAAGTTTTGAAGGGATTTTCATGCTTGTCTTCAGTTTGTCTGGTACACAGCCCTTAACCTGTCTTGACCCTCACCCCTGACCTTTTGTTTACTGTAAATACTGTAAAATGCATTTTGATATCATTGACATGTTTTGATATGTCAGTCACAACCAATGAGTACAGCTGAAAATAAGTTATAAAGAATCTGTTTGTGTTTTTGTATTTTAAAGAGATGCTTTTGCTGTAAAAAACAAAAAACGGCAGATTGATGGTCACCCCTATTGTAAATCAAATCCGCTATAGGTTTATGCATTTATTTCTTCAGAAATATTTCCTCAAACACATAGTTGGTGTAAAGAAAATGGCTTGTTTTGCTCAAGAGAATATTGTGATTTTTGAACCGAACAGAGAGTTAACTGAGTCTATATGAATGTGAAAACACAAACTCAGAGCAATTAACCATCAAATTTGTTAGCATATTTAAAATTTCAGCCATTTACATCGAATTAAAGGTCCTGAAGGCTGGAATTGTTTAGTTGCTCACTGACCTGCTTCAGTGTCCGGTTGTTGGCCATCTCTGCACTGTTGTGATGTATAATATTGTAACATTAGAAACGTTTGAGAGAAAAATGTGTATTTTGGAGCAAGAAGGGTCATTCATGGGAGTGAGTGACAGAAATTTCTCCTGTAATTTTCATTGTCCTTTCTTGCGACATGACAGTATTCAATATGAAGCAGTCTGTCCCATTGGGTTTGCTTTGTATTTCATAGTAGGGTAGCTCAGATCTTTGTCCTAGGGCTTTAGGTGTCTTGTGTAGCTAAATATGTCCTTTGTATGTTTCTTTATATTGTAAAGTTTCTTTAGACAACAAAAACAGAACATTTGCTTCTCAAAAAGAAATGATTGCATCAATAATAAATGTAATTTGATATTTTTATGTGTTCCAGTTTTGTTATTTAAATGAAATTATTTCAGTGAAAACCCTATAAAAACAAAGCAGAAAAGAGATATAAATTTGTAAATATGATATATATGATATATATATTAATATAAAACCGATAAATTAAAAATTACAGTGTATAATACGCATTTATGTTTTGAAAACTAGCTTAAACGTTTCATATAAAAGTCCCCTGCAGTCATCGCAACGACCTTGACTTTATGACTTTTATTTTGTACTTGTCGGGATTGACCATTGACCTTTACCCGGAAGTTGCACAGATTGATCTTGTTTTGTTGTCAAAGTTGTTGCTGCGCAGCTCCGTGGGTTTCCTCTCCCATTGCGGTAAGTATTTTCATGTCATTTCTTTTTTTAAATCACACTTTTAAATTATTTTCTGCACATAAACCTTTAGACGAGAGTTGTTTCGTCAAACTGTATTTAACAGCGAGTTGTGGCGCGTGCACGGCGCGAGCTCGTTATCAAAAGTTGCTGGAATGTTCTGGAAATACTGTCATTTCTGCAAATAATCGCAGGGTTTTGAAATTATTTCATGAATGCATGCTCTCCCACTCGTAATTAAATACAAGTCTCCTGAGAGCTCATTAGATACATGTTTAATTGCTGTCATAAGTCTAAGGATTTGCACTCAATCTGTTTACAAGAGGATATTTACTAACATAACACACACATATAAGATGCTTATTGCAATATCATTTCTTTTAAATGAACATTTGTGAACATGTTTCAGCTTATTCTAGGACAGTTGGAGTTTATTTTCCGGTATTGTCGTGAGTATCTTATAAATACCCCAAAAAAGTAAATACGGTAATCATTTAGTATCATAACCACCTCAGTGTTTTTATAAGGGTTTCATTAGCTTATTCATACTTATAAGATGGACATTAACATATAATTTAATCGAATCGAAGGTTTACTCGAATATATTTGTAATAGAAACCCTTTTTGCTAATTCTACGATAACTATGGTTTCTCTTCCGAGAAGTACCATGGTAATACCATGTTTGTTTTGCACGTGGTGAGTATTTGAAGTGTTATGTAAATACCATGAAATGTTAATATGATAATCATTCAGTATTATAGTATTTTTGTAAAGATTCAGTTAGCCTGTTATGTTATTGTACAGTTGATTGTAATGGTATTATAAAATGATTGTATTTTTAGTTATCGTTTATCCATTTGTTTTTGGTGTTGCTTTGATGTAATTGTGATGGGAATAACACTATCTGTGGCCAGTCTTATGAATGTGACAATATCCTGCTGAATGCGTTTGGCTGTTTAATGCCAATGCATGTATGATAAACACTTGATTGAAATGGTTTTGTAAACAGTAATAAGTAGGCCTATATTATGTTGTGCACAAGCATAAAAGCTTGAGAGGAGATGACATGGGTAGTTAAAACTCAACCAGTGTTTGTTTATTGTTTACTAGGGTGACCATACGTGCCATTTTCCCCTGGCCAGGATTTCTATATTGCCTAAAATATCTAGGTTTTGGCTTTGTTTGCGTGTGCAGACCGATCGGTGTATGACATCAAAGTACCATACAGACGGTTATGCTTTCGAAACGCTCTCAAGGTACTTTGATGTCAAACACTGATCGGTCTGAGCCGCACTGCTTTTAAGTCGAACACACCTAATATGTACGCGTAATTGCATCGCTTTGACCGTAGATCCCACCTTCTCACACGCCATGATTGGTCCATTATGTACAATGCTTGCATGTTATTGGTCAAACTACTTTTCGATCATTACCTTCAGCAAGCATGAAAACAGGAAAACAAAGCCAAAACAAATCCTGGCCAGGATGCGTCCTGGGAAAATGGCACGTATGGTCACCCTATTATTTACAGAGATTGCCATCGTGCCATAATGCGTGCTGATTCTTCTAGATATTCACTTTATGCGTAATGTTACAGGTTGACCTTCATGCTGAGGATTTCTGTTAAAAAAAAGTTGAGCTTATCCTAGAAATCCATGTAAAGAAGTGCATAAATGTGTGCATGTTAAACAATATGTGAGCGGAAGCTTGTTTAACTGTTTTGTGTGTGTGTGAAACACAAAAGCAGATGTTTAGCAGAATGTCCAATCTGCTCTTTGTCATACAATGAAAGTTGACTTATAACTTTATGCTGCTGCTTGCTTTTTGAAGTTTGGTAATTTAAAGGGGTCATATGATGCGATTTCAATTTTTCCTTTCTCTTTGGAGTGTTACAAGCTCTTGGTGCATAAAGAAGATCTGTAAAGTTGCAAAGACTAAAGTCTCAAATCCAAAGAGATATTCTTTATAAAAGTTAAGAGTCAACCACGCCTACCTAAAACGGCTCGTTCTAACACACCCCCACATACCTACGTCACGATCTCGGAAGAGGCGATACGTTTTTCTGTTTGGCCGATGTGTTCGAGGCGGGACTTTTATTTTGACGGCGCTGAGAACGGCTGCGCCTGAGCGCACACCGCTCACATTCTGTCTCGCTGTCGTCGTTCAGTTCTGTCTAATATGGATAGAACTGTTAAACAAAGGAATTCAATTGTATACAAAAAAGTATTATAACGATTGCTTTAATATTATTAGTAATAGAAAGGCAAACATTATAATACTTTCTCGTTTGCCATCAGCATTCAGCAAATACGCATTTATATCATTTAAACAAATCTTTGAATGACTAATGAACATTTAATTTCACAAACCTTGCAAACTTAGTCGGATCCAGTTGTGAGATCTTGTGAAGTGTATTCTCTGGGTGACGGTCGGTCCGTGCGAATTGAATGCTGACAGGAGGAGAGTTCTGCTTGACTGGAGACGCAGGATCAACTTTAAACTAGTGATTTCAAATTATGCTGCACTATGCATTTGCCCACTGCCATATTCATGTCATTTTCATTGCGTGCTGTATGTAAAATGAGTGTTACCTTGGCTTTATTAAAAAAAAAGAAAAAAATATTCCCAATGCACACAAACTGAATCCTGTTAGTTAGTGTTTACTTCCTTTTTAATTCGATTTTTATTAAATATTTATTTATTTGTGAAAAATGCTTTGTCTTCTAAAGTATAAGTATGTTTATTTTACACAATTATTTTTAATCAATTTTCAAATTATTTCAAATTTCTTAAATATGAATAAAAAAAATTTTTTTATATCGGCCACCCTGCTTTCCAAGATATCGGCATCGGCTATCAAAAAAACCCATATCGGTCGACCACTAATAATAATCCACAAGTAATCCACACAACTCCAGTCCATCAATTAACATCCTGTGAAGTGATAACCTGCGTGTTTGTAACAAACAAATCCATTATTAAGACATTTTTAACTTTAAACCGTTGCTTTCGTGTAAATTACGAGTCCACAATCCATAATAATGCTTTTTCCAGTGGATTATTGTGAGGTTTTTATCAGCTGTTTGGACTCTCATTCTGACGGCACCCATTCACTGCAGAGGATCCACTAGTGAGCAAGTATAGTAATAGCTAAATTTCTCCAAATCTGTTCTGATGAAAAAACAAGCTCATCTACATTTTGTCCTGAGGGTGAGTACTAGGGCTGTCAAAACGGCTGGAAAACTAAATTTGAATTTTGTACTTAAATATTATCAATGTTCAGGGTGTCCGCGGGGTCTTAAAAAGTATTAAAAGATGATAAATCAATTTAGAAAAAATGAAGGCCCTTAATAAGTATTAAAGAGTCTTAAATGCCATTTTCCAAGGTATTAAATTTTGTATCATCTTTTCATTTTGTATATTTGTCCGAATAGTGGGGTTCTGTGTTTATTTATGGAATCCCGCAAGATTTGACATCATCTGTTACGGCGCTCACTGACTGACTGCACCGCTGCATGATAGCGCCGGGCTTGTTGATCCCGCTCTCGCTGAATTTATGACCGTTATCGCATGCTCCCATCCGCTCCTGCTATTTTTGTGTGCGGTCCCGCAAACATTCTAATATTGTATATTATTTTCGCACATCAGGGCGCCGCTATCAATATGTGGCGTATTTAAACCCCTTTTGAATGAGCGCTAGCAGTCGCAGTTCACTTTCACTTTCGATTTCGCGATCGTGCGCACACAGTGTAAAGGGAGCACATCTTACTATAAAAGGTATTTATCAATGAGCTCGGGATCTGTTGAGGAGCATATCCTCCAACATCTTTATCAGTTATCTCTCTGTAAAATATGTATTTTAGGGATGGAAATGACATTTTTATATTTGAGACATGGTAATTGCGCTACTTTGGGCTGTTTTTTTATTACTAGCATGGGCTTGGGATGCACAATTAAAATGATGTAATAGTTGTGATCATTATTTTACCTT